ATTTTGGGCTTTCACATGTATATTACCCGTGACAAGACCTTTCTAAATACAACATGATTTTTTGCCCCGTGACCTTCACCTTATATTTGATCTACATTGTACTTTTCAAAAATGTTTCTCCTTATAACTTTTGACAGAGAAGAGATACGGCTTTCATGCTTGACATGTGCATTACCTGTGACAAGATATTAACGTGCATGCCATGATTATTTAACCCTTGACCTTCATTTTTAACCTAATTTTAAAACAAGAGGCCCAGGGGCCACATCGCTCACCTGAGCAATTGGCTAGGAAAAAGCACATACCAGATCAGCACTCAAAGTTTACTGAGGTTAGGGGGGAGGGGCGGCTTGAATTTTAACCCTCCAGGGGGTCATGATTTGAACAAACTAGAATCTACATTACCTGAAGATGATTCCCTATAAATATCACTAAGCATGGCTTTGAAGTACTTGAAAAGAAGATTTTTAAAGATTTTTCTTATATACTCTTAAGTAAAACTTTGATCAGCCATTTTGGCCCCACCCTACCCCCGAGAGTCATGATTTGAACAAACTTGAATCTACACTACCTGAGGATGATTCCACATGAGTTTCATCTTTCCTGGCCCAGTGGTTCTTGAGAAGATTTTTAAAGATTTTTCCTATATATTCATATGTAAAACTTTGATCGGCCATTTTGGCCCCACCCTACCCCCGGGGGTCATGATTTGAACAAATTGAATCTACACTTTTAGAGGATGATTCCACATGAGTTTCATCTTTCCTGGCCCAGTGGTTCTTGAGAAGAAGATTTTTAAAGATTGTTCCTATATATTCCTATGTAAAACTTTGATCGGCCATTTTGGCCCCACCCTACCCCTGGGGGTCATGACTTGTATAAATTTGAATCTACACTACCTGAAGATGATTCAACTTGGGTTTCATCTTTCCTGGCCCAGTGGTTTTTGAGAAGATTTTTAAATATTGTTCCTATATATACCTATGTAAAAATTTGATCGGCCATTTTGGGCCCACCCTACCCCCAGGGGTCATGATTTGCACAAATTTGAATCAACACTACCTGAGGATGATTTCACATGAGTTTCATCTTTCCTGGGCCAGTGGTTCTTGAGAAGAAGATTTTTTTTAAAATGCCATTAATTTTCTCTAATTCATAATTATCTCCCCTTGTAAAAGGGCGTGGCCCTTCATTTGAACAAACTTGAATCCCCTTTACCCAAGGATGCTTTGTGGCAAGTTTGGTTGAAATTGGCCCAGTGATTTTTAAGAAGAAGTCGAAAATGTGAAAAGTTTACAGACAAACGGACAGACAGACGGACAAAATATGATCAGAAAAGCTCACTTGAGCCTTCGGCTCAGGTGAGCTAAAAAGTCAACTTTTGGATGACATAACGGTGTTCGAAATACCGATCTTCTTTTTATCGGTGACAGGATTTCTGGCATGGTCGGGGAGGAGGGTTCGGTCCCTATGGTCATTATGCACCTTACGGGATAGAAAGTTAAGATTCAAAATCCTTGTAAAGAATCGTAATCTATTTTGACATACCCAGCTTCATCTCTACCGTTTTGCCGGACATAAATGGCGAATGATTGATGTGAATGTGATGTGCCACATATATCAGGATTTAGTTTTAAGGTTCGGTACCCTGATCTTGATAAGGTGAAGAACATTATTTATTTAATTGATACATACATTTATGTTTTTCTCATTTGTATAAATCATTTAATTATTATTTACATGTGTTATCGAAATTAAGCTCTTTGCGAATAAGAGACAAGTCAAAGGGAGGAAACCCCTTTCTACAGTTTTGATTCGCAAAACTTATACATTTGCACATATGGCAGAAACGTTAAATAAGACAAAGTACTCATTAAAGCAGTTTGTATTCAGAGTTAAATAATTTCAGAAATTTTGAACTAATCGATTAATTTTTGGGCTCCTTCTAATTATAAAAAAAAACTGTCTAAAAAAATTTTGGTGATCATTTTTGGACAAAATGTCAATTTATATGTGAAGAGGTTTAAAAATTAAATCGTCTAGTATATGACTAAGTTGTTGTTATGTTGTTTTATTTAATTTTTTTTAACAATTTTGATGTATTGTTAAGAAAAAAAAATTGGTAAAAAAAATTTGGAGAATATTTACAAACATAAATAACATAGATATGCCTTTAAATACAATTCTCATTATAACACATTTTTATTTTTTTTTTCTTTTAAATAAGTGCAAGATTTTACCAGAAATTCGGAAAAGGCCAGAGCAATCTATCTAACTTTTCTTCACAAAAAACTTATTTTTTGAATAGCAGAACGATATTATTTTTCAATAATTTTATTTCGAGAAACGATTACATACTCCCTCGCAAATTCATCTATAAGCCTCTCAAGTTTTGCACATATCCCGAACATCCAATCCATTAACTTACACAGAGTAGCGCAAACGTTTAGTCAAACTACATGCATGTGACATTATGTATACGCGAACACAATCCGAAGCAATGAATGTTACAATTTCGAATTGCCTCTGCTTTCCCTGTTCAGTGTTGTGTGTGATCAAAATTTTCAGTAAAAAATGAAAATGAGACTTTGGGATTTTTTCATCATTTATTTTGAGATGATATGAATTTATTCAGAGTGCATAGCGTTATGTATGTACTACACAAAATACACAAAAGATAATATTTTAATGGAAGTGATCATTTGTTTCTATGACAATCCATAAAATTTATGCAAGAACCCGTGTATTGTTGTCAGAGTCCGTCATATACATGATATATGAACTTCCGATAAGATCTTCAGGCAGGAAGAAAATTTGTAGGCCGTCTTTTTCCTTCTTTACGCTCAATCACTTGGCTGTATATGCTATATTTTAATCTCATTTTTGACCACAGCTTTTTGGATTTTGGTGCTGGTTGATTATATTTCCGTTGCGGTCATCTGTAACGAAAAAAAAACATAAAAAGTTAGGGTTTTCTTCTTTGGAACTTCATACTAGTATAATTTTCACTGAATTTATTTTAAATGAAAATCAATGAGGCTATTTTTCCAAGCTACTGTTGATAGTAAAAATGTATAATTTCATAAACAGTGTATATTCTGTAACATGCAATGTATGTGAATTTAAACGTGTAATTATATAATGAAATTATAAAAGCCGCATCATAAAATCAGTATGTAGGACTTCAAATTCTATTAAAACCTCGAAACAACACAGTACACGTGTACTAAATAGTGACTATAAATACATGTACCTCAGTCATCTTGTTAGGGTGAAATCCTCCTCGTCTTCAGAGTCCGACACAAGAAATTCTATGTCCTCCCCAAATAGTTCCTGGCGGAGCCGCACGATTTCTCTCCCCTTGACTTTGGAGAACTTGTAATAGATGTCTCTCATCGCTTCCGTCACAGCCATGCGCAGTCTCAAAGAATATCGAAAACACTTCTGCCCAGCCTCTCGTGCCAAAAAGTACCTAATACATAAATTTGATATCGATAATAAATAATATCAGACATCTATAGACATGCATGACATCTTTCCAAGAAATGTTTGTACGACGGCTCGCAAGTTATATGCATAATATTGAAATTGATCCGTCATCGGCAATTATCATTAAAAAAAATGCGCTCGTGGCATCTCGAGTATAAATGGCGTTTTAAACACATTTGTCAGCATTTAGAAATGTTTTATTTCAATGTCTAAACAACGACTACGTGAAAAAAATATATAAATTACTATAAAATTAATCTTACAAAAAATAGAATTATACCTCTTCTGAAGCTGAAGCAACTGCAGCTCAAGGGAGACAATCTGGTCGTTCGATTTCTCGAAGTAGCACTCGGCTTTATTAAGATTTTCTAGATCCATGTATCGCTTGCAGGACAGTATGACGGCCATACTTCACACTGACAGATTAAAGATCTCAAAATGACACGGAATGATCATTCGTCGGTCGTTTATAAAGTGTCAGCTTGAGCATAATGGAAAATTAGTAAACTTTCTGAGTAATATAATAACTCTTTATTGAGTTAATAACCTTAATTAGCGTGGTCTGGCGGTCTTTATGCAGAGTAAGGTACTTATTTTGTACTAAGAATACACTCGATTGTTGCTTATTATGAACGAAATTATACATTTGTATGTTTTGATTGTAAAATTTAAAAAAAGAATGAAATATTTTAAAAAGTTGAATATTTTTCAGTTGCATTTTTAAAAAAAAACCTAGGTGATGTATAAAAGAATGTTTCTTATACACGAAACCATTTTATTATTTCAAGTAAACAGAGAATTTAGAAGAAATTGTTAATTTAGCAAAACAAAAACAGTCAAACACTTAATTATAGAATTATTGCTTTCATGAGCAGCATCATGAGTAAATTCATTTTTTATAACCCCGCTTGAAAAACGGGAGGGTATATAGTAATCGGTATGTCCGTCTGTTACGCTTTGGGGTACCCATCTCTTATCCGCAACTCCTTATACCACTGAATGAAATTGAATGAAACTTTCACCTCCTATTTTACATTTTGAACCGACACATGTGTTGGGTTTCTCATAGCAAAACATCATTTAATGATCTCATTGCTCACAGTACCTCTAGTTTTTCGAGTGAAGACTGCCAGTGAGAGTCGAAAAAGAGATCTGATTCTGATTCATAAAAAAACTTGACCAGATCTTAATCTTGGATACCAATGTTTCGGGGGGGGGGGGGGGGGGGTCCAACATATGTTTTTTTTGTTTGAAAATGTGCTGGGGGGGGGGGAAGGTTAATTCTTTTCGTTCCACTTATAAAGGTGGCGTCTAAACTACGGACTAATTTTGATATCTTCCATTATATACTACGTTATACGAACTGCACTTAATATCTACACAAGTTGTACGTTAAAAGCAAAATATGACACGATTTAGTAGTACCTAGTGCATTTGTACACATCTGTAGAGAATCTATTTCAGGTCTTTTTTTCGATTGTTCAAAGTTACTGGAATAAAAAACACAAATGTCAAGGTCAAACAATTTATTCTAAAACTTTCAGATAATATTTCATTCTTACAGCGAATGAGCCTACATTTTTGTGTTTGTGTTTTTATCATGGGTTTGCAAATTATTAACAACACCATTAGCGTGATCTTCTTTCTGACTTTCGTCTTTCAAACATTTCTTGTCCATTTCCTCTAGGTCTTGACGAGATAGATGATCGACGATGCCCGCACCAAAGGAGTCTCCCAGTACATTCACTGCAGTCCGAAAACGATCTCTGAAATATTAGGTATTAAGTACAATCATATATCAATGCAAAAAGTTCGTGTGATTAATAGAAATTGTAGTATTCTAATTTAATCACCAAAAACATATATTATTCTATTTTTTTCTTTTTCAAAATAAATATATTTTTGTTTGAGACAACCTCATGATACACTGTATAACATATATAATATAATTGTTAAATATGATGGAAGTAATAATATGCCAGTACGATGTAAACAATATTTATAATCATCAACAGAGTCGGGGGAGATAATGACAATATTTTATAAAGCAAGCATATACAAAACCATTAAAATGTGGACTTACAAAAACCAGTCAAGTGCAAGAACTAGTCTCACTTCCTCCACAGGAAGTCCGACCGCAGACAAAACTATCGCCATGGTAACGAGCCCCGCTGACGGAACTCCTGCAGCCCCAATAGCTGCCGCTGTGGCCGTCAGACTATGGAATAGATTAACGCTAAATGAGGAACTTTCATTTTATTTTACAAATTGTGGTATACTATGAAATAAAAATGCCCTTAAAAGTATTCTGCATTCCAGATATATTCTTTTTTTCCTATTATTACATATTGTTCTATGTTTATAGACTCTTACTAAGTATTGAGAATACTATCTTGTACATTTTATTATAATTCGTCTTATGTCTAAATACTCTCCTAAGCCTTGATCGTACTAAATGTACCTTGTTATTGCAACCCCGTCCTGTTTTCAAGACTCTCTTAACTACATGTATTAAGTATACTACCCTTTGATTATTATCCGCCCTAAATAAGTATACATGTACTACCTAAAGATTATTATCCGTCCTATATCTAAAGACACTCCTAAAGATAAGTACTACCCTATGATTATTATCCGTCCTAAGTATACATGTACTACCTTATAATTATTATCCGTCCTATATCTAAAGGCACTCCTAGGTATTGTGCAATAAAGATGGCGGCCACAGCCTCGTACAGTGCTGTTCCGTCCATGTTAATGGTGGCGCCAATTGGAGTGACAAACATAGTTACACGGTGGTCCACGTGGTTTCTTTTCTGAAGGCAATCCATTGTCACGGGTAACGTTGCAGAGCTGTTAAATGTTAAATTGTACAAACTGTAGTTAATTTTGGGCTAGACTTTATATGTTTGAATCTGCTTCAGATCGAAAGAAGTGGTAAAGGTCTTGGTTTAATTTATTTCCGAATTGGAAATACACACCGGTAAGTCTTATTTTGCCAGTTCTAAATGTGATTTGAATTGTACTGGCAAGAAGATATGGTCTTATATCCCTGCACTTACTTGAATCTGCATATGTAGTTTACATGCAAATGTAAAAGAATCAGTAATCAAATTCATAATTATGAATATTTACAAGTTTCAAACACATGAATATGAGTCAAAAAACTAAATGTGCAAAGAATTATTTACAATTTTACAATTTTTCCCTATACCATTTCCACATTTTTATTGTATTAAATGATCATGTCAAGGAGCACACGGCGGGAGTGAATGGTCGGCAGGGGATGCTCACTCCTATATGGCACGTGAGCCAATCTCTATTGTTTTGGAGGTCCGCTTAAACTTGCTCTGCTCCTGTTTGTTTTTATGGACTTTTGATCTTAAATATACTGTTCCTTATCTCGTTGTTTTATGAGATGTTTATTTAAAAAGGATAACTTGCAAAAAGTGCCTATTTCCTCCACAGCAATTGCAGACAAAGATTTTGGTATTTCAGAGTCCTTGGGAAGTTTTGGATCATGTTGGAAGGAAGCATAAGAAAAGAAACAAATGGAACCACTTAAAAGATACACAAAGAACAACTAATATGAAGAGACAAAAGAACATGCCGTTCATACCGACAAGAGAAGCCGGAGGAAAATCATATCGAAGACTGTCTGTATGATTTGGCATACTAGTATTGTATACAGTGTATCAATACCATACAAATCTATATTATAAGTAATTGTATTTTCGTATATATCTTAATAACCTTTTAAGTGCACATGTACCTTGATGCTGTGCCCCAGGCTGTAAGCATTGGCTGAAGCATTCCATACAGAAACTTATAGGGATTCTTCCTCGTAAACAAGAAGTAAATCAGTGGCAGAACTATAAATGCATGGATTGCCAGTCCGACCAATACAGTCAACATGTAGTAGCCAAGCTGAGTAAACATCTCTATTGGTTTCTCCATTCCAATAAGTTTTGCAGCGATAAGGAAAACAATTCCAAACGGTGAGTACCTGTTCAAAGACTGAAATCGTTATACGAACAGAACATATATTTTGAGCAATTGCATGAATACTGTAAGTGATAAAATTATGCTTGCTTATGAATTGTAAGTTTTGCTTGCTTTATAGGAATCTTTTCAGCCAATTTTAAAAATTGAACGTATTTAAAAATTAAACAGAACAAACGCATTGACTAAGGCACCTAATTTATCAATGCCTGAGAGAATACTGTATACAGGGTTATTTTCGCCCTGTGTTATTTTCGCCCTTTTTACACTCGTTATCAATTTTGCCCCCTTTTAAATTCGCCAAATCACAGCTTTGTTTAAGAATTCATGTTCTTTGAATTTGCCCCGTTTTAAATTCGCCTTCTAGTTACACGGGCGAAAGGGGCGAAAATTTCCATATATTCAGTAATTAGATAAGTCAAAAATCATAATTTATATTCTTAGTAGTTGAAAGGTTGGATTTTATACTTGTTTCAATGTGTAATTTACGTTTACAAACCATATGACAAGGGTTATCAGTTTCATAGTTGCCAGATGTAGACAATCAAATACATCTACAAGAGGTTTCCCTTTTTCACCGAGATTTGTTAAAACTCCACCGAGAAATAGCGAGAACACCACGAGGCCAAGAACGTTCATTCCTTCGGCATAGTGCACCTTCATAGAAATAACTTCACCATCTACAAAATATAAAGTGCTTAATTTTTGCACGTAATTGATTAGAGGTATGAACGAGTTAATGATGACGTCACATGAATCAAACGCGTATTTTCACCCCTAATCTGTAGATTTCATTCCATATGCGTACATGTATCAGGCTTGGGGTCAATTACTTTGAAATGTAATTAATTACTTTCAAATACATTGATAATTTTGTCAATTACTTGCAATTACAATTACATTGATTTTTTTCAAATGTAATTAATTACTTTCAATTACTTTGACAAATGTAATTAAATACATTTTAATTACTTCGAGTTTTATTTTTATAAAAAAAAAAAATAAAGATTTTTTTAAAATAAGATTTTTTCTATAGCGATCGAATTCGAACTTTCATTCAGTGTTTTTGTTCTTGGGTATGATAGGGGTTCACATCTGGTCAAAATTAGACCTTTACCTTATAATGAGTGTGACACACTGTATAAACAAATAAAACATTATGAGACAATTAATTATTGTACAAACACAAGCCCATACTACACCAGTATCGCTGCATTTCATTTCCGGAAATCTTCATAGCATTTCCGACATTTTTTATTTCATTTCTGACATTTTTTGTTTTCATTTCCGACATAATTTTGTTTTCATTTCCGGAATTTACATGTGCAGCAATTTAATGTTTTCCTAGTCAGTGAAAATGAAATTTTAAAAGTATTATTTGCAAAAATTGACTTAAAATATATTTATAAAAAATCTACATACAACTTCTTCCCCTCATTTAATGTGTACTAAAGCAAATGTCAGTGACAGCACCAAACTTTTGTCCAAGACACTTGATGTACTCTAATCCAGTTTTTACTCCGGTTGATAATGCACTTATTACACAGCTCTACACAGAACTTTATTTTTTCTGCTTTACATCTGCGCAGAGTAAGTCAGTAAACATTGAGTCAATCTCTCAAACTTAATTCTTGTGCAATTGTCTTCATTTTGCCACAGTCGATTCATTGATAAATTTACAATAAACTCAGAAATTGGATTTCAATAATTTATTTATTATATGTTTTCCTTTGGATTTTTCATAGGTAAAGTCTTCAAATCTGTAGCTAAAGGTACTATCTGATAAATGTCGGAAATGAAAACAAATAAATGTCGGAAATGAAAACTAAAAAATGTCGGAAATGAAAAGTTGATAATTACTCAAAATTCCGGAAATGAAATGCAGCCACCAGTATGGTGTATGGCAAGATCTTTTTTGTTACTTTCTGAAATCCATATTTTTGAAGGAAATAAATAATATCTATCACAATTCCATTCATTATTTTCTATCTTAAAATGAATATAATACAGGTAAATCTAAAAGGGGATGTAGTTAGTCTAATTGCTGTAAAACAAATTAACTATCTAAACAATGCAAGTGGGAATAGGGAGAACTGAGATTTATAAAACATGGGAATAAGTAATATAAACCCATGGATCAGTATAAGACACCTTTTTAAATATAAACTTTCATTTTGAAAAAAAGTAATTGAAATGTAATTGAGAAGTAATTGAAAATACATGACCTTTTTTGAAATGTATTTAAATACATTCAATTACTTGTAATTGAAGGCTCGCTCAAATACAAATTACTTCTAATTACTTTGAAAAATGTAATTAATTACACTCAATTACAATTACTTTATTCAATTACCCCATCCCTGACATGTATACGTATAAAAACTTACTAATGGTCTTTTGGGTGTAGATTGTCTCGTTTATAAGAGTCGAGTTGTTGGTATCACTGCCTGTAGTGCTATTATATGTGGCGTTCAGTCCTAGGATATACTGTTTGACGTTAATTTTCTCATATTCAGTTACTGTCTCTTGCTGGAGAAATTAAAAAAAAATATATATTACATTTAAAAAAATCAAAAGGAAATATTAAACGTGAACAAGAAACAAAGCAATAATAATGATTATTCACAAGTTGGATCTACACCATTCAGATAATGGAAAGGTGACTGAACGTTTACTGAGTGGTGACTGAATGGAAAAACTCCATCATTCAGTGGAATTTTCAGATAATGCAGTCATCATTAAGTTGATAGAATAGTGAAGGTTTATATCCAGTGTATAAACCACTACCTACAAACTTAAAGCCCGAGATAATAAGCACCGCCTTCAGATTTACCTGGTCTGCATTCCCCTGTCAATCAAATGGATTAAGGTCCATTATTGGGTAATTAAAATTGATTGACATTTAGCTTCTAGTCCCTGTGTATATCTCTCTCACCTTATTTGACACACGTGGTCATCATCTAATTAACTTTCGGTCTTCTGATGTTTACCGCTAGATTACCAGCACAATTAGGAAGCCATTTTAATGCAAGCAATTTTAGATTTATTATAATTGATCATAATTATTTGAATTGCAAGTATAAAAACTATTTTCTGTATTAACGTACTTTTAGAAATCAGGAATTTAGGAATTTATTACTTGATTATTTATTACAGACTTACCTTTTGAAAACATGCTTGGATCAAGTTTGGCGGAAAGCAATTCCTGAAAAACAAATCCTTTACAATGTATATTTGTTTTCTTTTATAAATATCAAGGCATGAGGTTTCTATAGTTTCACAGTTTAGTTTATAGATTACTTTTATTCTTTTTAATGATCTTTTAAAGGTATAAACCTGGTTTCTGAGAGTATTTAGACAACCAAATAAGTGACACACTTCTATCGAACAATGACAAGGTTTAATGCACAGATTTTCAATTTTAAGATCAATATAACGGACAAGAAATTCTAAAGTGAATAATAGATAAATATAATAATCAAATTTTAAACTATTTATCTGATTAAATTTTCGAAAATACCACTATTTAGTTGTGCGGATATTTAATGTGTAGTCATGATAACTTTGTCACAGTCATCATTTTATAGTCATAGTTATCATTATGGCAAATCAAAATGTCAATAAAATAGTATTATTACCACAGTGTACCATTTTTGGTGTTGGAAGTCAATTGAAATTGTTCCCGGTTTTTTCTAAAACCCAGTTTAATTTGTAATATGGGTATCAGAAAAGATGAACATAATTATAGAGTTCATTCATGTTATACAAAATACTAATTTAATGTTAGTGACAAACTACAAGTATATTGTATATATATCAAATATATCACTTTGGTGAATCGTTAGTGTCAAGGTCTTCACCAAAACTAAGTAGTGTTAGCATTATCTGTTAGGGGTGCTTAATTTGATATAAAATTATTCAATCTCAAGTAAAGTTTGAACAAATTCTGAAAGTTCTAGAATGAATTTGAATTAATTTATTCATTTTTATATAATTGATTTCAGTAATGTTAATCTAGATGTATTTTAGATTTTCTATTAAAATATTTTCAGAGAATAATGAGCAAACCAAACTCTATAGCACTTTAAACAAAACATTTCTTTTTTAAAGGAGGAGGGGTATACATATATGTTATCCACAATCCCTCCTAAACTGTGCACCGTCTGATAGTAAAAGAGACTTTCAAATTATGCAACGCCATTGTGCATCTCATATTTAACAAATATTGATCGAAGAGGTATTTTTCCAAAGGAAAAGTTTTATTTCTATGCCTCCTATATGCAAATCATTAATGGTACTTATCGCTTACTTGCAACTTCTACTTTACCATAAAGCAAAAGAAATATATTAAATATACAATATTAACACATTCCTTATAGTATCTATTGTTTATTGGGCTTAAGTTTGAGCGTGAATACTGTTCGTTATCCCTGTACATTCCATTCATAGACCTTTTAAGTAAAATTTCTTTAAAAAACGTATTCCCTGAAAACTGTCACACATACAAGTACGTTTTTTAAAAATGTGTCACTTGAAATGTCTACGAATAATCGTTTCTTTTATCGATAATTTCGGACGAAAAGGATAACTCATCTAAACAAATGTTTTATTTGTATAAATCTGTATGCGATCGACGAATTTCTTATCGAAGGAGGGTATTGATCGCAACGTAATATGCAGCACGTAATATAACCTTAGGTAAATTAAGTGGGCTAGGTGGTTGTGACCTTTTTTAAAGACTATTTTGATCCTTTTCAGAAGAAACTCGCTACATAAAGATACACAAAATGATCAAACTTAAAACTAAAATGTATAAAAAAAAAATTCTTTGTCAAATGATACATGTACATGTAGTTGACGACTGAAAATATATTATATCTAAAAATACATGTATAGCTATATGTGATGGTTAATTTGTTGACCCCCAGCCTCCTTAAATAGCACGTAATAAAAACGAAATATATTGCAATTCGTAATGTACATCAGGCTTGGTTTTTCTGTACATGTATTATCCTAAGTGCCAAAAAATTTGCATTACATGTAATGGTTATGGTAATGCATTACTTCATAAAACCCAGTGTAATGCTGGCATTACATAGCATTACAAAGCATTATTTTGTATGTACATGTACCTATCTTAAGAAATTAAAATGGACATGGGTGATGGAAATTATTGTTTAGGTTATTTTTTTTATTCATTTATTTTTATTTTTTTGCAAATGATAAAATTGGATAAAAAGTTAACCCATTTAAACAAAATTTCTGTATCTTTTTAAATACACTGTTTATTATGTTAAAAGTCTGTACACTTATCTTACATTTAGTTTTCAAACTTTTTTCAGATAATAATTGATTTCAATGAATTATATAAAATAGTTTTAAACGATTTTAAAAAAAAAATCACATATGAGATACACTAATTAATGTACAGTGTAAACTGATAATTGCCACCTTTTGAATAGCTAGAGTGTCATCAAAACACACTACGCCTCTGGGTTATGTAACAATTAAAACAATGCATTGTTTGGAGAAACGCTCCAAATTACCAGTCCCTTTCTCCTGACTGTGTTTATAAAACATTAATTAAGCTGGTCAAACTTGTACTGACCATGAAAATTTCATTAATTGTACCAAAGAAAATAGAAGACACACAGGCGTTATATGATTAGCAGATCAAAATGTACATCCGTCTACTTTTTCAAAAAGTTTCTCAATGCATTTATTTTTTTTCATAAGGTGCTAATCAAAATAGCCTATATGCTTTATTATTATATATTTTAGGCAGATAGGGGTTACAGTGCCCCAAAAGTTAAATTGCTTCATGACATCAGTAGTTAAACAAAAAGGGGATATTGTACAAGTGTTGTATAACATAATTTAAAAGTTTGAATTATCTGTGAATGTAAGATATTGACAATGTAATATATACAAAAACTTAAAATCAAATTTGAATTATTATCTATCAAGTTTTGTTTTGAAGGGGGTGGATACATACTTATGAAAAAAAAAAACGCAAAGTTTTGTATAAATTTCTATGCTTAAACCCCCCCCCCAAAGTAATGGTAAAGGTAATGCATTACTTTACTAATGTAACGGTAATGTAAAGCATTAATTTAAGAAAATATAGTGAAATGGTAATGGTAATTTAATGCCCAAATTGTTGAAGTAATGGCAATGTAATGCATTACTTTACAACATAATTCGCTCTAAGCCTGATGTATATGTATTATCCTGAGTACCCAAACTCCGTCACTATAAGTGGAAAACGCCCCGGGTTTCTCTTCAAATGATGTTTGGATTTGCTTCTTGTTTGCTACACATAGTAATAAACAAGAACATTGTTTTTAGTGATATTAAAACAAATTGCAGTAACAGGGCTTATATAACACCACTAAATAGAACGCGTATCCCGCCAGCGTCATTTCGTTCAATGTACATTCACTCGGTCACCAGGGTCTTCCACAATTTGCCAACGTTTTAAAGAAATGTATTCCCCAGTTAAATTTTCATACCTTTTTTTATTTTTAAACATAAAAGAACTGTTTTAATGATTTCAAACAGTATAAAATTGTATTTTTAGAAAGGCTTCAGCAATATAAATAAATAGCGTTAATTTAAAGTATTTTATACTAAAAAATGTCGCTCTAACGTTAATTTCAACGCGTAGCGCATTCTGGCATTTGTATACAAAACAATATATTTCAAGACCTATCAAACATATCATGTCATGTTAAACTTATATAATTTAATTTCAGTTGTAACACGCCATTTGATTGGGTAAAAGACTTTATCCATTTTGTATAATATTACTTGCCTAGGTCACAGTGAGTTAACGTCAAAATCGTATTACTCTGCATGCAGTTACTTTTAAAATATGCTAAATTTGAAGCCATTTTCTTGAGGAAAACATGTCTTATTGTCTACAATGAAATTAAATTATAAGGAATGAAGCTTCTTTATTTCAACTTTAGTAATACAAAATAACATAACTTGAGACAGTTTACGCTTTTTTTATAAACCGTTTCGGGGTTTATAAAACGTAAACTGCCACAAGTTATGTTATTTTGTATTAGAAAAGTTGAAATAAATAAGCTTCATTATATCGTATAACAAAAGTTGAAATAAGCTTGATTCCTTAAATAATAGACCTTCATAAAAATAATTTTTAATGAGCATGTTGAGCACCTGTCGAGATTTTGATGGAATGGCACACAGGGGAAAAGGTGCTTGCTGATTTTACTTTAATCATGATATCTAAGAAATAAGATTATTTTTTTTTAGCGCATTTTTGAACTTGACCATTATAGTAGCTTTGAATTTGATTGTAGATTTTCAGGATGCAAAAATGACGTCACAATCGTATTCGTGTACAAACAGCGTGACAGAGTTCGGGTAGTGACGGAGGTAGGGGGTTTGGTGATATATTGACTGTTTTGCCGGAATTTTATCGATTTTTTTTTGTAGGTTCATGCGTAATATAGACATTTTTCTGTATCTTTGAGTTTTATCAGTCAAAAACTTTCCTTCAAACAAGTTGCCGATATATAGGCCACAACGCTCAATGAATAACTTTGGCTCTGTTGTTTTTCATCTTGTTTACACCTATCTTATACCTATTGTGTCGACGCCCTACCCCTATTTGTCATGATATGCAGAATTTAGGATTTATACAACCCGAGGATATTTTTACATACATTTCAGATTTTTTAGTCCAGTTATTCTTGAAAAGAAGATTTTTTTTTTCTATTTTAATGTAAAAATTGGATACTCTACCATACATAGTCTTTTCTCGCATAATCACCAGTGTAAGATTGACTTGTCCGGTGTGAGACAGCAGTGTGAGATTTTTCTGTCTCACACTGTGTATTACTACGCCATGAACGATAACGTAAACTTTCCGTTTTTATACAAAGAATATGTAATAATGTTAAAAAATATTATATATACTTAAAAGGTTGTCATTTAATTTATAAAGATAAACTTTTTTTTCAAAATATTGTCGTATTTTCACTTTTTAAATGGCACTATTTTTAGATCGCGGAGGGTTCTTCTTGAATGAAAGTTTAAGGTAAATCACTCGTCAAATTTGTTAAATCAAGGCTTTTTGGGGAAGTATATTTTGGATAAGTACTCATATAGTATGACTCAAAATCGCAGAGAAAATAGGGGGTCAGTGTGCATCTTACTGATCTTTGGTACAATGAAGTTGACCTTTTTGCATTTAAATTTTAACTCTTTGATTTATTACTTTATCTCTAATTTTATTTTATCAGAGGTCACTACGTTGATAAATTTAATCTTATTTTACATAAAATAGTTTGAATAATATTTATCATTGAACAAATCTTGCAAATTAATGCGCGTTTATTATTGTGTGACCTTTTTGCACTAAAAAATAACATATTTGGGGTATTAAAAAACTAAATAGGCAATAAAATATTTTCTTATATCAAGCTTTTTAGGAGTTAAGTGCTGATCAGTCACAGGTATCGAGTAGTTTAAAATAATGAAGGAAAAAGTTGGGGTCAGTGATGTTAATTTTGAAATATTGGTCAAAATATGTGATTTTCAGGCAAAAAATGGTGTAAATTTTATCTTGACTTCTTTAATATATCTTCATTTCTTGGCAAAGTTTGTTGACGGAAGGTGTAAAACTTGTTCTAAAATTATAAATTAAGACCTATATTAAATATTCCTGCAATATCATAACGGAAAATATTCTCCGAGTAAAAGTATGTGAGGCTAAAGTTTCAAGACATCAAATTTAATAAATGTGCAGATTTGCAGAAATTTCTGCTCAATATCCTTCTACCACAAGAAACAGTCCCTCATAAATCTTGCTTCTTTGTAGAGTTTTAAGCAGTTTTTTCGATGAATGTTAAAAAAAATTACATTGTTGAATATAAATATTTTATAAAAATTGAATTTTAATAAATGCTTTTTAAGTAAGAGGTTCTGCGTGAACTTTTCTAAAAGCTGACGAGTGACATACCTTAAGGTATCGGATAGATAAGTTTTTTTATTCCTAGTTTTTATCTATCTAATTAATTTACATGGACTGAAATTCATTTTATTAGTTTACACTACGCGTAAACCATTTTCAGGTATTATTATCTGATGGTGCATTTAGTTTTTTAATTAGATGGAAAATTAAAAGAATTTTTATTTTTATATTTTTAAGCCCTATCATGGCGACGTCATTGACAGCTGGCCGTCATTTTGGATAAAATACTGCGAGAAAAATAATCATTCAATTACATACTCGTGTAGGATAGTGAAATTCCACTTCTGGACCAAGATTCACGGTCTAGGACTCGACAAAGCCTCGTCCTAGACAGTGAATCCCCTCGGTGGAATTTCACTATCCCACACTCGTAGTAATGAGTGATTCTATTAGTCCTACCCCAAGGATCATGATTTTATCAATTTTGAATCTTCATGATGCTTCCACATAATTTTCAGTTTTCTGTAAAGTGGTTTTTGAGAATTTTTAAAATTATATCTTTCAATGAAAACACAAATAACGGTAAAATAAATATCAGCGATATTTTCTTCGACCCAACTTTTGCTTTCAAAACTTTCACCCTTACATTGCAGGTTCGAATCCAGCTGTGGGACGTAGAGACCGCACTGGACACGACTCAGCAGACTTTGGTACCCTTTATCTGATGGAAATGGCCGAGGTGATCGAGTGGTGAAGACCGGTCTTTCGAATGAGACCGTATAAATCGAGAACCCGTATCGCAATAGGTGCTTGTACCAAAAAATCTCTCCTTGCTCAATGTTTGTAAGTGCCGACTATAAGATAAAAGTTGGAGCTACCCACCGGTAAGTGGTAGCGTCTCCATATGAGTGAAAAATTCTCTAGAGGGACGCTAATCAACAAAAAAAAAAAAAAAAAAACAACAATTCGAAACACTTTTAGATTCATTAAAAAATAATCAATTGGTTATTTGGTTTTTCTTCAATCTATGGTTTTACTCATATTCAGTGCATCAAAAGATATCTCAAGTTTGTAGGTGGAGTATCCTATATATATATATATTGCGTTTTCCATCGAAGCAGTTATCATTCTTAATTGTCTGATGTCTAGTGCCTGTTATAATTTAGGGAGGTAACGGCAAGAAAATCTAAAAACGTTTCAGATGAAATGTATGTAAATAACAAACAGTATTCATGTGATGAGATGCAGAAATTACTTCAGGTCTCCAAAACGTCCTAGCGCACCAAATAAACCAAGGCTACCACAATTAAAGAAACTAAACACAAAATGAATGAGAAGTTCAAAATATCCTAACTTAAGGTTTATGCATTGTTAATTTATCAAAAATATTTTGAACGTTCGCAAATAAGAAGTAATAAATTGATAATTGATAAATTATGCTGTCGTTAAAAAGATGTCATTTTCATTTAGTACTATTAATTACATCATATAATGGAAAAGAAGAATGACATCATCTATGCTTACACTATCGAAAGAGAAAAAAATTGGCGCATACGTATTTTTGGCGCAAATGCAAGTGGAAATGGAATGGCGCAAATAAAGTTTGCTCGTGTTCGTTACTTAAAACATAAAATATGACAATGGAATTGCTAGACTGAGGCAGTAAACATTTCTTTTGTTGGACTTTTTTATGAATAATAAAAATATAGAAAGATATATGTAAGGGTAGAACACTTTTTTGATATGTCGTACCTGATTAGGTCTAACAACGCCGACACTCCCTCGGCAGATTTCGGTGTCCCACTTCTCTCGATGTCAGTGTCCCTTTTATGACCAGGTCGGATAGTCGACACAAGAATGATTCCAAGAATGACCGCACCGAATGTAGTGAGCATATAGTAAACCACAGTTCTGAGTCCCATTCGTCCAGTGGCCTGAGCTTTAAGGCCAGACATGGAGCTTACCAAACTGGACACGATCAGAGGCAAAATCAACATTTTCAACATGTTTAGCAGCAGATCTCCGGGAAATTGTAAATAAAATATCGCCTTCTTGTCTTTTGTCGAGATTTCATTTCTGAGGCCTAGTCCCATGCCAGTTCCGATGACCACCGCAATGATCATTAAAATGACCAGCAGATTGTCCTTTAAGATGGCCCTGCACCGTTGTTGTCCGACTGAAACCATTTTTCTGATATTTTTCGCCGTGCTAGAAAGAACAAAATAACTTCCTCCTTCTTCAATTCAACACAAAATACAAGATAAGGGAAATAGTAATGATGAGATAAGCGAACTGCACTGAAATAACTCGAATCAGCTCTGATATTCAAGTTTTAAAAAATATTGGGTTTTTTTTTAAATGTAAAAAGTTATTTTTCTACAATTTAATTTTAAGTTGTAACTCGTCATTTCATTGAATAATTGATTTAGTTTATACCGTATATAACATAAGTTGACTACGTCACAATTAGTGAATCAAAACGTATTACTCCGCTTAACAATACTTTTAAAATACACTAAACTTGAAGTCATTTTGTGAGAAAAAAAAGTCTTTGAATACACTGAAATTAGATTATATGGAATAAAACTTATTTTAACTTATGTTATACGATATAGCATAATTTGCATTTTACCCATTTTTATCAATCGCGTCGCAGTTATAAAAAACGTAATACACGTAAATGGTATAAGATTGGTTAAAATGAGCTTCGTTCCTTAAAAACACAAGAAAAGTGATAATCTGCAAAAAATCATTCCAGTCAAAGATTCAGCAAACTACGGTTTGAATGTTTACCTCAGGGGCTCTGTGTAATTCAAGAGGTTTCCCTTAATATTCATATGAGGTAACAGCTCTTGGAATAATTTCGTAGAAAAAACTATTCTTGTTCCCAGAAAATATTCTACACACTGACAGAAAGAGACTGTGAAGTTTATAAAATACGTCAGAAAATGAAGCACAAAAGATGTGGAGATGACAATCAAATGTAATTAAGCATTATACATGTCCTTACAATTTATGAATAAATAGGAATTAAACGTGTATTTACGAAGCATGAATAAAATTACGTCTATTTATAAGCATACTTATCACGATTATTATCCTTTTTTTTTAGCCCATTAAGGTATGTCACACGCCAGCTTTTTAGAGAAGTTCAGGCAGAACCTCTTACGTCAAAACTATTTGCTATATATTTCATATTTTTAGCATATTTGAATTAAACAATATAATTTTTTCAACATACAATAAAAGACTGATCAAAAACTCATAAAGGAGCCAGATTTATGAGGGACGATTTTCTGCAATTGTGATGAAAGTATATTAAGCAGAAAATTCTGCAAATCTGCACATTTATTGGTCATTGTATCGAGCACAGAACATGTATTTCGCTAATAGAACTTTACTGCCCACGTTCCTTTTATTTGTATAGATGAAATAAATAACCTTCATTTCAAACCAAATTCATTGCTGCTTTATTTGTATTCCATAGGATTGGAATTTTACAGTTGCAGCGTGGGGCTGTAACAGCTATTATGTAGCTCTTAAGTCAGATTTGTCTAAAGTTCAATGAAAGTGTAAATACCCTGATATACAGCACTTTTCAGTTGGCCTTTTCCTCTTCAGTCACAAAAATATGAGATTAATTAGGTACCCATCACAGTAAATTTTGATGAGATACGAATAATGAAGGTCAAACTAAGGTCCTCTCCATCATTTTAGGTAGAACGTGGTGTTATGCAAGCATTTAACATGTATAATTTCGAAATATATGTTTATGTGCTTTTTCGATTTTTGAATATGCGCATTTTAAAAATTTGATTTCAAGATGAGGTTCTACTTATAATTCATCTTTAGAAAAGCTTATCTGTTTTTTTGAGTGCTTGCATTCTTAACAAAACTTGTAATATGCGAAATTCTTTCAATTTTCTGATAACAAATATGATCAATCAGGAAGAAGGAGACATGTGGAAATAACGAATATTATTAAGGGAACAAAAGTCTATAAAACAATACAAAATCGGATCAGAGCAAACAGGGACCTCCAAAACATCAGAGGTGGGATCAGGTGCCATGGAGAGGTAAGCATCCCCTGCCAACCGGTCACACCAGCCCCCTGTTTTTTGTCATGATCGAGAAAAACGGAAACATTCGTCGCAATTCAGTGTATGAATAATGAACGTACAATTATTAAGTATGAAAAACGCCAGTCGTCAGCATTTGACTCAATGATAAATTGTATTTGCTGTCAAGGTAACTGTATCGACCATAGAACTTACAAAATTATGACTTAAACGAGACTGCTGATATTCTTTTCAATAACTTGTATGTCAATAATTTACCTCGTTTTATATATTATTCATACGTAGAGCATGCTCTTGTGTATCGATTCAACTAAAATATATAAATTCCGTATGCGTGTGATGAAGGTATATTGCTGCATATTTAGAAAGGGAAGTTGAAGATTGTAAAGTTAAAGTCATCACGTTTATCATAGAGCTTAAGCTTGACTGCTCCCTTACCATTAACGTCTTTTTCAAGTAAATTATTGTATACAGGGTTATTCTATCCCCGTGTTATTTTCGCCCTTTCACGCTTGCAAACAATTTTACCCCGTTTTAAATTCACCCAGTCATAGTTTTGTTTAAGAAATTGTACTGAATTGTTTCAATTCGCCCAGTTTTTAATTCGCCAAATTGAGAGTAGGGCGAAAGGGACGAAAATAAAACGGGGTCGAAAATTTCCCTGTATACAGTATCGAAATATAAAACATATGTGTCAAAATATGTGATATCTTTTATCTCAAGCTCACCGGGGTATATCATATCGCCATAAGAAAGCAATTTTCCATTGTTAATTGACAATACGTCGTCGATATATCTAAAAAATGAGTTAAAGCCACAGCAAGTGTTTTCTTCTTTTTACGCATACGTTTATGGACAAAGTCTGCTTCATATAAATACAAAAATAGTTCTGCTAATAACTATTAAATAAAAGGTTATACGACGTGGTCATAAAACTACATGTAAAATCATTCAGTGTAACATAACGTTTGAGAAAACGAATCTAGACTTTACATGAGTTTTTATTATTTAAAACAAATCAGGTACAATATTGCCGGTTGTTCCACGTATCCATTTCTTTTCTCTTTGATCTTCTTGATCAGATTTTTCAAATGTTCAAGTGGATACAGGCATTTCGATTGTCGTTTACTTTGAAATGCCACATAAAACCAACGTAGTACTGGTATGGTATGTGTAAAGCAAAATGTTTTATAGAGTGCATCAATGCGATAATTCTTTTTATAAAAAATTCAATCATTTACTGTTTCGGTTATTTAGGTTTAAGAAGAGAGATGAATTAACAGCCATATTTGTTATAGTTGTTGTCCATCGAGAGTGAGCTATCGAAGAGATGTGTCCTTCGTTAAGCAATGTATTATAAAAGTCCAAGTTACAATAAGAAAAATAGGTGAATATCTTATTAATATGATTATGAAATCTTTAAATTATGGTTTACTTTGGATTAAAACTTAAGATAAAAAAGAAAGTCACCATACTTTATCCAAATTGGATAAACTACGCTCCCAAGTCATAGGAGTTGTGTTGTTCAACATGCTCATTCTGGGAAAGGATATCCTTATCATCCAATCCTAATACTGATATTTATGGTTGTTATAGAAGATAAAACCCATGGTAAGGAAATAAGACTTACGGGAAAATATGAGGCACACTTAACTTAATATCTCTTGAGCCTTCATCGATCCCACAAATCTGGATAAAACACTTGATCGACGAATATATGCCATCAAATTTTATAACACGACCGCCTAATTTTCTTTGATTGTCAACTTTGTCTTTTTCTCACAGTTAGGTCTCTTTTATGCAAAAGTTTGAGCGAGATTCGGTAAAAACATGGTAAGTTTGACACTCGCTAAATCAATTTCAGGATGAGAAGATCACCAAAATAGAACACCATATGATAGATTGTATAGTCTATGTAAACATTCCACCAACTGGCATTTGTGTCCGTTAGCTTGCGTCCGAGTAATGAGCAAAAGTTGTCTTGAAAATTTTAATTTGCTATGTTGTGACGCGCAATGACATAGAAGTTGTTTGGTCAAAGTTAGTTTACCTCGCTCTAACATTTGATTGTTTACATTCATGTTCAACGGTCCAGTTCAGGAAATAATAGACAGTGAAAGAACAATGATCGCTGCTGAAACTAATCTAACTATTTCATAAGTTCTTACAATATTTGAAGTCAAAAGCGGTGGTATCGGCTGTTTTAGTTTACATAACTTCAAAGGAATTTCGGGTTAAAAAGGTAAGTGCAGTTTTTTGTTAATTATTATAGTATTCAAAACTTTATTCACACCAAAAGAATATTTATTGTACATCTTGTAATTGAAAAATATTCATATTGTTTATGATTTTATCTTTATCACCGTTATTAACTTAGAAATATATTCCAAAAGTTGAAAACAAGTTGCATCGTGAAAGAAATATGTAGAAAAAATATCACCTCGTTCTGTGATTCGGTCGCGCTATGACCTCTGACCCCAAATAACATTCACACAGAACTGAACACATTTTCTCTTCAATAGGTTCACCTAAGAAAGATATTATCAAATGTAAATATTTCAAGCTCAATGGGATATATCGAGTCGACATATGCATGGAATTTAAATAACTATTGTTAATTGATTATACATCGTCGATATGTCTAAATGATGTGTTGAAGGCCACGGCAAGCATTTTTTTATGTGGAATGTTTTGAATAAATTAACTTCATATGAATACAAAAAATTGGTCTGCTCAAAACGGGGCGCAATTGGTACCATGGGAATTCCGACAGATTGTTGAAAGACCGAGGCCCTTATTTACAAAAAGTAAAAGGTCCGTACGTCCAAGATGCATGGCTAACCGTAACAACCGCTATTTGGACAATTTTGCTCTCAAAGTGTTGTAAAGCTCAATAGACGATACTGAATTTCAGAGAGCAAGGGGTAATACCGTATATAGACGGATTTCTACTCAGACAGTTCGAAACAGATCTAATAGCATACCAACCAACCGTCTGTCCTGTATTAGATTTGGAGCACCGCAAAGATCGAATACAGGTGGGCAACAGAACACGAAAATTGGCAACAGCGTCATTGGTAACTTTCTTTTCAGACGAGTGGCAATTTTTTGTTGACTTCCATATGATGGCAGAAGACTTGTTTAGTGAGCAAATGGGAGAAGATATGCTGATTGCTATGAGGTGCCATTTCTATATTTTTGAGTTATTTTTTGATATACAAAAAGAATTCTTGATATCAATAATTCGTTTCTTCATATCATAAAATAATTCTTGATATCAAGAATATAAATTTTTGATATCAGAAAATCATCTTCTGATATCAAAAAATTGATTTAATTCGAATTCTTCATATCATAAAATAATTCTTGATATCAAGAATTTTATTTCTTTTGGTACCAGAAAATCATTTTCTGATATAAAAAAAAATCGATTTGATATCATAAAATGATTTTCTGGTATAAGAAAATGCATTCGAATTTTTGATATCAAAAAATCGATTTTTTGATATCAGAAACTATGAGTGAAATAGATATAGAATTTACTTTTATGAATGCTCCCTTATTCCCGTGTCATCCTGAATGCAGCATTGCTGATTCCGCTGCTGATAAGTAATAATGTTATCACTTGATAGTTGTTTCAGTCTAGCCTAAGTCTTTAATTGTAATAGGGTTTTTTTCTTTTAGCATTTTAGGCATAGATAAATTTAGAAACATTAACACATATACAGAAAATCGAATTAACAAATGAGTTTACAGTGTTTGGATGTGACAAAACTGTACATATTCCGAAAAAGTCTTGTAGCCTCCTTCAGTTCCTATGAAAGTCCAAAAAATAGGGTAATTAGTGAATATTTTATTGCTTAAGTTAGCTGTCTTCATTTATACATCTTAGAACCAAAACTTATAGCTCTCATTTTATAAATGTATACAATACATTAGTTTGCCTTTCCACAAATACTATATACGAGTGTTGTTTAATTCCTGATATCAAAAAATTATTTTGTCGTATTAAAAAGAAATCCAACTATGAGGCACAATTTTGATATTTTTGAGGTATTTTCTGATATCAAAAAAAAAATTCTTGATATCAATAATAAGAATTCATGATATCAACAAATATTTTTGATATCAAAAAATAGATTTTTTTAATATCAGAAAATCTTTTTCTGATATAAAAAATTCGAATTCTTGATATCAAAAAATTCGAATTCTTGATATCAAAAAATGATTTTCTGATAACAGAAATTTGAATTTTTTTTATATCAAATAATCTTCTCTATTTTCTCTATTAATCAAAAATGATTTTTATATCAAAAAATCGAATTTCTGATATCACAAAATAATATTTAGAAAATATTAAAACGGCGCCCCATATGTAACTGAATTTTTGATATCACAAAATGAGATCTTTTGATATCAGAAATTCTAACTTTTTATAATAAAAAATCTCGTTTATTTTCTGATACCAAAATTATATGTCCCCCCCCCCCCACTCTTCAACAAATACGTTTATTAGTCAAAGAAGCATAAGAGGTACTGGTAGTGTTTGTAAATATTGACCGGTACTGAATTCGAAAAAAGTTCGATCATACCTCTCACCCCTTCCCCACCCCCACCCTCGAGGGTTGATTTTTTTTCAGGTCACATCACAAAATTGATGATTGTTTTATCGGAGTGTAATGTGTCCAGTGGTTCAGTAACATGTTAAAAGCAGTATTTAAAAGTCTTTGCTTATTTCAGTATAATAAACAATTCATTTCATGAATGTTCGGGAAACATGAAGATCTATTCAGCCAAGAAATAATCCCCCAAACTTTGCATGAGCACTAAAGTCAATGTAAGTTATACATGGCATTGGCGGGGGAGTGGGTGGGTGGGGGATAATTGACAGAGAAAACAATTGACAGGGTGGTGTTATGTTCAAACTTCTTTCAATACCAATTTTTGACAAATACTACCAGTTCACGAACCGCCACTTACTATGCTGCAATATGTCTGTTGAAAATGGGGGAGGGGGGGGGGACTAAACACATACGAAACCTACGCCCAAATGTTGTTTAAAGCTTATATTATTTCTATCTTTGCAAAAAAAAAATGGGGAAAAAGCCCCTCTAGCCCCCCCCCCCCTCGGTTCCAACGCCTATGTATGGTATAAAATTGAAGTTTCTCTATTGTAGTTTTCTAACAATAAAACCCCAGCCTTAACTAGGGAAATAGATTTAGTTTTAATGGTAATGCAATACAAACTGTATCAAAATAGTAAGTACTGCTATTTCAGGTATTATGATGAAATGTCATTCGAAGTTTAATGTAGCAACAGCTGTGCTTATTGAAAAGGCTATAGAAAAGCATGTTTTAAAATGAAAAGAATTATTAGATTTGATATCCCATGTTAGCTTTTAGAAAATCTCTTTGATGCTATTACATGTAAACTTCCAGTTCTTCTCTGTTGTAGTGAAATATGGGGATTGGATCTCTCACCAATAGATTCAAATCTTCTTATGATTTGAAGTGACCGTCGGTTCAAACGTGGTACAGAACAGGAAAATCAATGAAATTCTAATGGATAACTGTACAAAAAATTTAATGACTTCCCTCGAACAGACGGTAGGGTTTCCCGGAATAAATTGTTTGTTCTGAATTTTAACATACGCTGACGATAGAATGTCATCCAGTTGAACGGATAGTCACTCAAGAAACAGTTTATGTACGAGTGTGTTGCATTGTTAAGATGTGAAATTGACAGTTATTTTGTTGTTGATCTGGAGATATTTGTCGGAATGGAACCTCGGAGACAGGAGACAGAGGAGGGGTACCTCCGGAAGTTTTCACCTCTCTGTGTTGTTGAGTTCTTCTTCTTCCTTGCGTACATAATGGGAAATTTCATATCAATTCAATATGGGCATGGCAAATTTCGTGAATCTCTGTTTCCAAACAACACTCATTTAGATACAACAGATAAATCTCGATGCAATACCAATACTAGTTCTGAGAGTTACAGAAACGAGCAAGAGGTGCAGAGAGTGGTCTCAGAATGGAGTGTGTACATTAATCTAGCTCAAGGAATTCCTTTAATATTTGCATCAATTGTATTCTCTCCTCTAAGTGATTCTGTGGGCCGTAAGATTTTCCTTTTTATAGGTGGCGCGGGTGTTTGTATCAAACAGTTACTGATGACCCTAGCTATTGCATTTGATTGGAATATTTATCTGTTTGTACCTTTTACCTTTATTGAGGGCTGTACTGGTAGTTGGGTGGTCATCTTGGCCATCGCTTTTTCCATTATGTCTGATATATCAACAGGCCAGTTTAGATCCTTTCTCATTGCTGCTATAAGCTTTGTATTCGGAGTGGGTCACTCCGTTGGTAACTTCATACCTGGCTATGCAATCGTAGCTTTAGGCTACACTTATGCCATGGCATTGTCGTGCGGTATATGTTTCCTATCGGTTATTGGTATATGTTTCATGCCAGAATCCCTACCTCCTAGTCGGCGCTCAACAGTACATTTTCACTTCATTACCAGCTTAAAAGAGATTGTCCAATTTTACATAAAGGAGGACGAATCGTTCAAGGATTCTAAAAGATGGAAATACATAGTGGGTCTTTCTGCATTTGCTTTCATCATGTTTGCAAGGCTGGGTGCTTCTTTTGAGCTACTTTATCTGATCGATTCACCATTTTGTTTCAATCCAATCAAACTAAGTCTGTTTGAAACTTTGAAAGCAGTATTGTCTGAAGTCATTGTTTTAGTTGGAATAAAACTGATGCAGCAATGTTTAAGAGATGAAATTATTGCATTCATTGGCAGCATTTCCTGTGTAGCTTATTACATCTTATTTGGATTGGCCCCATCTGAGAAATACCTTTACATAGGTAAGACTTTGTCTGCATTTCTTTTTTTAATGAATAGTAATGTTTCCACTGTTACAACATTATATTGGATATAATTTCCTTTATAGCTGCTGCAGTTGGTGCTGTTGGCATGTGCTCCATTCCAATGATCAGGGCGGTGATGTCAAAGATGACACCTGTAAACAAACAAGGTAATATTGAACTATGAGACCACAAAAGGTTATTTCCTTGAAAAAGAAATATCCAATAACCAGTGTTGTACATGTATTTTATGAACTCTGTTACAGCGACTTTGTATGTAATTTATTTTTCTGGTTGTAGGTACACTCTTTGGAAGTATAGCTATTATAGAGAACATATGTAACCTGTTTGGCTCTGTACTTGGGACAGCTATATATTCTGCAACAGTTTACTATAATCGAGGGATGGCCTTTCTGGTCCTAGCTGGATTCATGTCCCTAGCATTCATTCTACTGCTGTGAGTAAAATTATGTTCTTTAACAACATTTTCAACTGATTATAAAGTTTGAGAAAATTGTAGTGGCATATTTTGTAACTTTTAATCACATTCTTTATGAGATATAACCCTCCAGGTTAACTGTAGTGATTAATGTAAAGAAAATAAAATAATGACAATGTTTTCTTAACTATTTGTTTAACTTTTCCAGAAAAAAAAAATTTTTATAATAATAATTGTATTTATGTATTGAATGCGATAACTTAGTTGGAGGTTTCCGGGAGGATTGATTTTAGTAAATTGTGAAAATTCTTAGATCCACGCCTTGGTTGATGGATTACATGTAATAGAAGGTGTAAGGTCACGTGGTCAGCTCAGCGAGTCATTCAGTTGTATTGTGATAACCCGCATGCTGACCACGCTAACATCAGGCACGTTTATTTTGAAGACCCTCCTCCACCCCTGCATTCCTACCCCTTAAAATGGGTATTAATATGTCATGTAAAATCATATATTTGATTCGTTCTGACTCGATTTGTTTAAACTATTTTTATGTACGCCTATTTTGTTTTGATGTGCCATCTTTTTGCTAACTTTTTCAAATGATGTTTTGATTGTCTTGTCTTACAGATACTTTTTTCAAGTCAGTTTTTGGGGATCAGACATTATCATATTTTACGTAACTGCTAATCAAAGCTTGTGAATCTGATCCCCGTCTTGTTTGTTAGATTGTTCACATTTATACCGTCATTTTAATAAATGACATTATTCATCTCTATGAAAGTCTTTTATTTGACTTGTACAAAATTAGCAAAAACAAGCTGCGGTGAGATTGCCTATAAGCATAAGAATACATAAAGTCTTTTCTTCATGTTAAAATTTCAATTCAATGACTGCTTTCTGAAAGTACAAATGATATAAAGATTGTATTTTCTATTTTATAGAATTCTGGTTATTTGTGGCCGTGGACAGAGAGATAAAGATGACTATGAATCCATTCCAACAAGTAAAAATATAAACTGATTTCAAGTTTATTTTTCAAAGGTAATAACTAGAATATCTTGACTGAAGGTGCATTAATCTTTCTACGAGGCAGTTTTGGCTTCTTCGTCCCTAATTTACATTTCATTTGCCTTTCTAATATAACTGCTCAGTAAAATTTAAGACTGAGATAAGCACCAGACAGGCTTATTTCTAACTGAGAATTTTATGTAGAATTTTATTCTAATCAGGTTGTGTTGACTTCTCATATTGTAAATAAAAGCAACTGACACCACTGATACAATTTTTGAGAAAATGAAATTCTTTTAAGCAACCACTGTAGATTTGAAAATTTTACATTGTGACACTTTTATTATAAAACTATTAATTCCTTTTTGAGCTCATGTTTGTGATTTTTTTTATTTTATTGAATTTTATTTTTTTTTTATTTTATTTAATATTTTGAATGAATCTCTAATTATTCACCATTTTAGGTTAAAAAAATTAATAGTTCTATTTTCTACTTTCATTTTTTTTTATCTTTCTGTAAATATGTTTTATACAGGACCACAATGTAAACTATCTAGCAATCGGTTACTAATTGTGCTATCACGTTCAAATTAAAGAATTTATTATTATTTTTACATTTGAAAATATTCCGTGGAAACTCTATACATTTGTTTTTTTCAATCAGATATTTTTCTTCTCATTTTTCTAATTACATGTGTACCGATTATATAACTTGTGATTATCAGTGATAATAATTATCCTTTCTTCATGTATGTCAAAGCAATTTTACTTGTACATGTTCATTTTTATTTCACTTATATTGTCAGTTTTACAAAGGAACATATTACATGAATGTCTATCAGAAGAGAAATGCTATAATATTCAAACAGTTGAAACTTGACATAATTTCAAATAACTTATTGAATGTTTAAATTTCATGTCCCTTCAGGTGGTGGCTGAACTAAATTTTTTTTTTCTTTTTAACTCAATATATATATAAATGATTATGTAATAATGTTTTTTGAAAGAGAGAGATTACTTGTCAGCAATATGTAGTACAACATAGTTGTGGATATCTTTAATTTTTATCAAAGAATTGAAAGTGCTGAGGATTTTAAGTCTACGAATGATTTATACCATTTTCAAAAAGTATTGATTTAAATTTAAATTCTCGTGTGAACTATGATCAGCTGAAATAATTGTGAAACTTTATTTTTTATGCCCCTGCAATCAAAGATGTAATGACAAATAGTTTTTGTAAAAATGGGTCATACTCAAAGTTCAAGAGGTCAAATTTGGTGGTACCCGAAGCAAGGTTTTGTCACAAACTTCTAAATTTTTTAGTTAATGTTAATGTGGGACTCTGTCTTACCTAAAGACACCATCCACTGAGGTGAGATTTGTAATCTCTGATTACCTCTGTTTTTAACATTTAAATCTGTCATTGCAATTGTAAGAGTTGTGACTTTATGTATACTATATGTACATGTATTTGTTTTTTATTTCCATTTCCTTGTCTGAAGAAAGTCATTTTACTTTTGAATAAACTTATTTATGTAGACCTTATTTCTAAATATTTTTGTCAAAATTTAATAGCCATTCTCTGTAAACACTTAAACTTCGTTGCCACGCGTGGTCACCGATTTTGATGAAACTCCCCCATTCTTAGTACTTGACACTAGAAACCTATATCAAATAAATTTTTGTTGCTATGCATCTCAGTCATCAAGGTCTTCAACTTTAGGAAACAATCATTACCAATTGTGTGCTTTGCTGCAAATATTAGCGATGAGGCTCTAAACATGTTAAAAAATGCCATTTTTCAATCTTTAAGACATGTTATCATGGTAACTACAACACATAGCCAACGACTTTTGTCCGATACACATAGCCAACGACTTTTGTCCGATTTTAGTTAAGGGTATCAAAGGCTTTTATCATAGAGAGTTTGGAAAAATTCTGAGACTATGCGTTCCAAAGCTCCTATATAAGATTTCAAGTCATTACAGAGAATGGCTCCAAATCTGTCATGCAAAAGAATTCGAAATCAAAGAAGGGTATCCAGTGAATTCCTTGAGAGAGGGCCATCACTTTGGCAAGTTTTAATAGGGTTCATCAAATAAATCGAGCTACACTTTTCGAGAAGAATAATATTAAAATTGAACAAAATAGAGTATTTAACTTTCCCAAAATTGTTTGCTTGTGTCTGTTAATAATCATAAAATATGGAGATTACGAACAGTATTCAAGCTCAATAGTTCATTCAAACAACAAAAATCTTGAGCAGAGTAAACGCGGACCTCTAAAACATCAGAGGTGGGATCAGGTGCCATTGAGGAGTAAGCAAACTCGCCTTATGTTCATTGTCATGATCGAGAAATAACGGGAAAATCCGTATACGATTCATTTTAAATATTATTTAAATGATGGTCTAACAATTTGTTTGTAAGCCGTTAGTCAGCTTTTGACTTTATGATAGATTGTATTTGCTGACAAGATCATTGAATTAACCATAAAACTTGCAAACTGAAGACTATAATCGAGACTGTATTCCTGTCGACCATAGAAATGGATTTAAAACATCCAATACTGCAATACGCAAACAGTAAAAATTAAACAAATGCCTGCATTAAATGTGATTTATGCTCTATCCATCTGATGACAACAACTCCCATTTCTTACATATACATGTACTGAGCTTCTCATTACCTTTATAAAAAAAAATAATGATACAAACACCAATGTAAGCTATCAAAAAAGTTTAATTTTGTAAATTTTACTTCAAGTTTATATTGAAGGATCAATTGATTTTACTTTCAATAAATAGTACAAATAACCACATATTTTAATTTTAAAGAGTACAGATATTATATAAATATTGTACTTAACTTGCACAGTGTTTTCTTCTGTGAAGCAGGTTTTTTTTTCGTTTCACATAAAGATAAACAAACAATTATTCAGACATACGTTATTTATTCTCGATATCGTTTGTCCAAATGGATCAAGGATAGGTTGTTTTGACCATCGTCCTGGTTTGATAAACAGGTACCTTGATAAAGCACCTAGAGATGATATCCACTCGGTATATTTTTACAAATACAGTAAGTCAGTAATCCTCACCATCTCCGAAGTCTCAAACCCTTGACACTGTGAAGATGACTAAGAGTATGGAACGCCGTCACTGCCTTATAGCAGAACACTGCTATTGCATTGTGTCAACCTTCCATTACATTATGTCAACTCTTTATGACATTAACCCACACTACTATTGCATTATGTGAACCTTCCATTATATTATGTCAACTCTTTATGACATTAACCCACAATACTACTGCATTATGTCAACCTTCCATTATATTATGTCAACTCTTTATGACATTAACCCACACTACTATTGCATTATGTCAACCTTCCATTATATTATGTCAACTCTTTATGACATTAACCCACACTACTATTGGATTGTGTCAACCTTCCATTACATTATGCCAACTCTTTATGACATTAACCCCATTACTATTGCATTGTGTCAACCTTCCATTACATTATGCCAACTCTTTATGACATTAACCCACACTACTATTGCATTGTGTTAACTTTACTTTACATTATGTCAACTCTGTTTGACATTTACACATACTACAATTATATTTCGTCAACTTGCATTTCGTTATGTTTTCTTTTCATGAGATCTTAGTTTTTATTAACTGATGTGAAAAGCTCATGCCATACTGTGCGCACTCTTCTACGTTATGTCGAGTCACTATTACGTTATGCGAACACGGGTATCCTCGGCTTTATATGAGGATAACGTATTTTCCGCGTTCCGCAAGCACTAAAAATGGCGGGAGAGAAAACTGTCGTAGAAGAGATTCTCAGCGATTTGGGAATGACATCTTTAAATGAAAACTTTACAGGGGCGTAGCAACCGGTGGGGGGGGGGGGGGGGGGTCAGGGGGGGGGGGGCCTGGCCCCCCCACTTTTTTTTCCCAACCATACTTATACTATAGGAAATGTTAATTGAAAGCCTGGTTGCCCCCCCCCCTTGTGATGTACCGAAAATGTAGTATTAGAATTGGTACTAAATGTAGTTGACACTGAGAAAAAGTTTACCCCCCCCCCCCGCTACGAAATAGGATTATCGACTTTGGGAAACTTTTCCCATTTTTCCCTTTTTTTTTTTTTTTTTTTTTTTTTTGCTTGTCAACTTTTTTCAGGTAAGTAAAAAAGTTTTTTTCTCTGGCTGGCCCCCCCACTTTCAAAAACGATGCTACGCCACTGCTTTAAGCGACAAATGATTGACAATCTTGAAACGTGCAAAGCCTTAACACTGCGACTGTGAATTAAAGTCACGTCGAAATTCAATGGTGTTTACTTTAATCTCATAATTAAATAAATCAAATATTATGAATCGTGCAGCAATCATTTTTTTTCTTTTTATTTTGATTTTTTTTTTAAATAAAAGTCTTAAACTTTGAAGGACATTGCATTAGTTTCACAATAAGCTTAGCTGAATTAAGTTGAAAACTTTTTTCTATAAAACTATAAAGCCTGAGAGCTTCTCCGCTTTCCGCCCTTGGTCTCCAATCATATACCGCCCCCCTTCCTTGTTAAAGATTCCCATATCTGCCACTGATATGTGCACATGCTTGCTTACTAAGGCATATTCAATTGATTTAGATGAGCGACTGGTAGATTTTTGTAATAGAATTCTGGCCCTGGAATGATTAAAAAAAATTAACTCCAGTGACGTAGCATCTTTTTTTGAAAGAGGAGGTCAGCCAGAAAAAAATCATTTACCCGTAAAAAACTTGACAAGCCAAGAAAAAAAAGTCCAAGCCCGAAAATCCTATTTCGGGGAGAGGGGTCCAACTTCGATCAGTCCCATTTTTCCCCAGATATATTACATTACCCTTAGTGGACTATCTATACTTCAACAAGAAGTGGGGTGGGGGGCTGTACAGTTTCAGTGAACATTACATTTTCTTTAGTAAAGTTATGTCTGGGAAAAGAGGGGGGTTGATATTATGTGCCTGTAATTTGTCCTAATCAATCAGGACCCCCCCCCCCCTTACCAGTCATTAAGACACGGTCGTCAACATTCATTATATACTAGACATACAGCTTTGAGATAATGTAAATGTTTTTTAACATCAAGTAATGAACTTTTGGAATCAACATGATAAAGAGTTAACACAATATAAAGATATTTTTAAATCACATAAGAAAGAGTTGACATAATGTAATTATATATCCACATCACGGAATGGCGTTAATAATGTAATAAAGTATTGATGTAATATAAAGATATGTTCACATTATGTTATACACTTTTTACACCACGTAATAAAGCACTGACATAAAGGTACGATGTGTTCACCTCACATCATGATGCCCTCGCCGTAAAATAAAGATAACTCCATATCACGTAATAATGCTTTGATATAATAGACATATACACTCTCAAAAAGGAATGGGCTTTTGACTTCATGTAATGATAAGTTTAATTATAAAACACAATTTACTTGACGTAATGCAATTTTTACCTCACATATTAAAGAAATGAAATGATGTAAAGAAAAATTCATATCATGCAATAAAGTTTTAACACAATGTAAACACATTATCACTTCACATAATGAAATTTTTACTTCAAGTTATGAAGTGCTGACATAATGAAAGGATGTATTTACTTCATGTAATGCAGCATTGACATGATATTAAGATATATTTACATCATCTCATAAAAAATGGATATAACGTAAAGATATGTTCACATCACGTAATGATAAATTGACATAATAAATGCATAGTTGTATGCTATAAGGCAGTGATGGCGTTCCATATAAGAGCAAGAGACTTATTTTACAAGATGACAACTGAGTCCGACACCAGAGATGGCTATTTACGAGTATTTAGTTTCTTGTGTGCTGCTGACTTTTGTCTGTTTTTCTCCTATGTATTGGGCCTAGACACGGCTAACGAGTACGGACGCGACCGATTCTGGGAACTAAAATTCCCTAATAGAAGCCTTTTCAATATCAGTGATGATTCAATCTGTGAAACTAATACCTCGTCACAAAGGTACCAGGAAAGGAAAACTGTTCAGAAGTTAGTGTTAGAATGGGATGTGTACATATCAATAGCCCAGGGAGTCCCGCTTATTCTGTCCAATATGTTGTTTTCACCACTGAGCGATTCCATTGGAAGAAGGCCATTTCTTTTCGCTGGATCGCTTGGTATTTGTGTTAAGCAACTTCGAATGACCCTTGCTATCTTTTTTCACTGGGATATTTATCTTTTTATTCCATTTGCATTGGTAGAAGGTTTCAGTGGAAGCTGGTTTGCTCAGCTTGCCATTGCTATGACGGTTGTTTCTGACCTAACCAAAGCAGGAAAGTCCAGATCCTATTTAATCACTGTGTTCAGTTTTACATTGTATGTACAGTGTTGGATTTTCTTTGGGAACATTTAGTTCTGCCTATGTGGTTGCGAATTGGGGATACGAACACTCTATGGCAATCTCCTGTGGATTGTCGGCCTTTGCATTCATCATCACGTGCTTTATTCCTGAAACATTGCTCAAATCGCAAAGAAAGAAAAAAAACTTCGGTTGCCTTGGAAACTTTAAAGAGATTTTGAAACTATATTTCAAAGAGGACCAGAATTATCCAGAGTTGACAAGGCGGAAATATCTTACTGCTATCTCTTCTTTTATATTCATAATGTTGGAAAAACACGGTGCATTTGCTGTAGAATCATTATATGTCAGGGATTCTCCATTTTGCTTCAACCCCAAAACAGTCAGTTTATTTGAAACATCGAAAACCATCTTTTCCGAGGCTGGGATTTTAATTGTTATAAAACTGTTGCATAGATGTATCTCAGATGAGAGTATTGCATTCATTGGGGCTATTTCAGACACGTGCTGTTTTGTTTTATATGGAATAGCTTCTTCAAAAAAGGACCTGTATACACGTTAGTAATACGAGAGCAAAAACTTATTCATGTATATTACAAAAATAAAGGATCTTCCATGATTTGTAGTTGAATATAATGAACAAGTTGTGTGTCTTTATCCCCGAGCCTTGGCGAGCCTCCCAAGAATCATGGGAGATTCTTTTTATCCCATGTTAAATACTTCACAGCCAGGCCAGAAAAGCTTAAACTTATGTGGAAGCATCCTGGGGTAGTGTAGATTCTAAATTGTTAAAATCATGACCCCTGGGGGTAGGGCGGGGCCACAATGGGGAAACAAAGTTTTACATAAAAGTATATAGATAAAATCTTTAAAAATCTTCTTCTCAAGGACAACTGGGCCAGAAAAGCTGAAACTTATGTGGAAGCATTCTTGGGTAGTGAAGATCATGATCCCCGAGGGTAGGGCGGGGCCACATAGGGGAATCAAATTTTTACAGAGAAATATATGGGAAAAATCTTTGAAAATCTTCTTCACAAGAACCATTTGGCCGGAAAAGCTGAAACTGGAAGCATCCTGGGGAAGTATAAATTCTAAATTGTCCAAATCATGACCCCCGGGGGAAGGAAGGGGCCACAATGGGGATCAAAGATTTACATAGAAATGTATAGGAAAAATCTTTGAAAATCTTCTTCTGAAGAACCACTAGGCCAGGAAAGCTGAATATTATGTGGAAGCAGTCTGGGGTAGTGTAGATTCTAAATTGTTCAAACCATGTCCCCGTGGGTTGGGCGGGGCCACAATGGGGAATCAAAGTTTTACAATGGGGAATCAAAGCATCCTATGGTGGTGCAGATTTCAAAATATCTAAATTATGATCAGTGGGGTAGGGTGGGGTCACAAAATGTATTACAAGGGGGAAATCTGGTAAAGAACGGAATGGTCAAATCTTCTCAGGTGAGCGATGTGGCTCATGGGCCTCTTGTTATATTTTGTTTTGTTTTGTGTTTGTTTGTTTTTTTGATTTAGATTTAAAACAGACATTTCGTTTCAGAATTTATGGTGCTTGCGAAGGACGAATGTTGTCCCATCTTTGACACTGTTTAGATCTGAATATACGCATTCTGTTCACTTGACATTTTTTGCATAACTCATTGAATAATTTTGTAAACTTAAGATTCTATGCTGGTGCTAGGTGTGTTTGTTTCTACATGCATTACATCATGTGTTTATATTTATTGGTATTGTCAATTACACTTTGTGTAGACATATTTAATTCGATTTGTCACTTATTTATTAATAAATGTCCATTCAAATTTTAACCCTGTGTTTTCATTTGTGTCAAATAGAGCACCACCAAATAAGGTATCCCTAAAAAATTATCTTTGTTTTAATTATAAATTAATTAAAAATAATCTATATAAATTAACTGCCGATAGCGTCATTGTTTTTCAATGTCTACTTCTTCTACCTCATACACTTATTTTTATGAGGTACCCTGGAGCTGAGTAAGGACTTTAATCCTTCTTGTTTAGATGACTTAACAATGCCATGAACAGTGGCTTTCAATGCATATACTTTTGCAAATGAATTTATACTATGGCAGAGATCCTCGCTTGATTGTGCCGTTATATTTTGCTTTTTTGGAGTTCAATATCTACAACACACGATCAACGTCATTTTTTGACCTGATTGATTTTTCACACCTTGACTACAAATCGACATAAACCGTGCATTCCCTTTCTTTCTGAATCTATTTTGGCATTAAAAACAAGTAATCTGGATGCATATTATTTCTCCTTAGTCAGTTTAAACATTTCCTAGGTGTATACCAGTTTTTCCAGTGGCAAACTTTATAGAGTTTAAAGGAAACCCCTCCCCCTTTTGACGTCATATACAAGGCAACATTTGTGTGAAAATGTAAAATTTACGATAAGATTTCATAAATCTTCCAGAATGAGGTAAAAATTTAATATTGTATGGAAAAATAGTGGCCCAACACATCCCTGAATTAACGGGATTTTTGGAAGTCAAATGTTCATATAACAAAGGTTTTTCTTAGTTATACTTACGTAGAAAAAAACGTCATTTTCGAGGTTGCGCCGCATGGACATACAATTGCTTACAAAAACATTACTATTTTATTCAAAAATAAAATTTATGATTTGTGATCTATTCTATAGATAGAAAAGATGATGATAACTTGATATTTTAGAATTCATTCATGTACCTAAAGCGGGTTTAATTTTATGGCGCCAGTCCACGAATTTTTTGATAGCCCCTCGTATATCCTATGATCACTGAAATTAATTTAAAACACTTCATATGCTAAAACATGAAACATTAGAGAAATCTTTATCGATATAAATATTTGAATTGGAATGATCTTTATGGATTATCAATAATTGACATTCCTTTTTAGCATTTTTTAAAATTTATATAAAAAATAAAGGAAAATAGACGATCAAGTGTTGAGTGTTTATTGAAATAATGAAGACGTAGGGACCTGCTAGTGGAGATCATTCTATACGGACGCCATAGCTAACAAAAATTGAGCTTCATGCCAGTTAGAATAAAAGGACTGATAGAACGTTTGTTTTGAATTCTTTTAAAGGAAGCCTTTTTGCTTTTATGATCATTTTAGGTAGGTTTGCATCAATTATAAAAAAAAAATTGATTATATGATTTTATGAAAAAAAAATCCTTAATATACTACATTATAAAACCATTCCCATATGATATTTTGTGCACTTTTGCACCCAGAATCGGTTTTCTTTTATCGTTGAATTTTAATTTTTTGTCAGCAGGGGATGCTCACTCCTCCATGGCACCTGATCCCACCTCTGATGTTTTGGAGGTCCGTGTTTGCTCTGCTCCTATTTTGTATTGTTTTATGGACTTTGATATTGAATACTGTTCGTTATCTCCATATCCTTCTTCATGTTTATCTGAAAAGTTTATAGGAGTCAAGTCTACAAAGTTCTCAATTACATAATTATGTTTTCTAGTGCAGCACTGCACATTGTTTAAATGTCTTGTTATAACACTTTATCGCAATTATTCAAAACAACCTTAAAAGTATTGCCGATGTTCTTTAGAATAATAATTCTGATGATTTTTCAAATGATAAAAGCCATAAGAAATAGGCATCAGTTATGATAATTGCATCACGTATAAAGCTAATATATACATTTGTTTCTGTATTTTAGGTTATGCTAGTATCTTGTTAATTAGAGGAATCTTGATTTCAACATACAACATTCAATACCACCCAGCTCCCCAGCTCACATGCATTGTACATGCTACCCATTTGGGGAAAAGAAACTACAACACAATATAAAGGTGTATTTTATTTTATTAATCTAATAATATTTATCAATTTAATACGTTCAGCAACCTTTGAAATATTTTGAACCTTAAAAATCATCTAAGCACGTAAATGAAATTTTAAAAAAAAATGTGCCAAAAGTGATTTTTAAATCAGATTAAAATCTAAATAAGTTCAATCTTGATCTTATTGTTCGATATGGATTGTACGATGAAACACCAAAATTAATGCATTCTAAAAGCCTTTTGTAATAGTATCTTCCAGCAAACGTTGTTTTGATACAAGGTAGAATGCTGTCACTCGGTTGTGGTTGATCTGAAATATTGCAGAATTATTATTGTATTTCTATTTCTCTCATCAATGTATAAGAAAAAATAACACCGTACACCCATTCTCAATATAAGGGCACAAATGCCTCTCTGATTTTTTAAAAAATGAAGTTCAAGATAACAATTTTTCTATCAATTACCTTTGAGAGAAAGTATCTGAAGATTTTGTTTCCAGATTTTTTTTATCAAATTATAATACATGGAATAATGACAAGACGATAAAGTAGAGGGTGATTTTATTCAGAAATGTAGCTTGAAATGTACGTTACTCTTTCTTCAATGTCCAAAAAGATATGTCAAAAAAAAATGTAGTCATTAAAATCACAATTGGAATATCTCATCTTAACACCAGCACATCCTACCAACTCTGTCAGCAACATATTTTCTCGGCATACGAACGTGCGTTTGATTTTTCCTTTCAAAAAACAAAGGTTACTTTTTGATCCAGATGTATAAAAACATTTTTTAAATATATGCTTTAAATTCTTCTCTCTGTTTTGTTTAGAGCGATCAGTTTGGAATCTTGTCATTTTCTATAGATACTGGAACCTAACATGTACATGTAGTAAAATTCTATTTTGTAGTTACTGTCTTTTTTAACATATATCCATGCCGATTTAGAAAACTACGTAAATGTAACGTACATTTCAAGATATATTTCTGTTTGATTAAAAACTTAAAATTCATCTAAAAATCCATCGTTTTGTTTCAGTTTATTCCAAAAAAGATTCTCTATGTAATCACATTGTGTTGTATGTCACAATCACCACTTTAAAGACACGATTGCCTCAGTATATGAGTAGGTAACGTACATTTCATGCTTGTAATAATATGTAAATTAGTAATAAGAAAATATTGAAAAAAAGCAATTATTGACATAAAAATCATTTCAATGAAGC